GTGACTTTGCTGTTTTATCAGATTAAGTTTCTTCACTCTTTTTTTTAACAATATTTGTTTACAATATTTGCTTTAAAAAAAATTGAATTACTTCAAAATGTATTATTTTGTTGTTTTTTTTATATTAAATTTTATCTGAATTTCCTTTTCTTTACTTTTTCCAGATAAATTATTATGAAATGCATTCTATTCTAATTGCGTTTTCCAGATCATATTCTCTTGCCCTCTGGGGGCGGGCTTTCTTCTGGAGGGAGGAAAAAAGATGCATTTCTATTGGTCACCTGAAAGTTAGCAACTGTATTTGTATTATTTGTATTATTTAAGCGAGCGTTTGGATTGGGCCTAAAGTGAAGGGGAATGGGATCACTGAAATGTAATTTGAAAAGAAAGCAATTCATAAAACTCTATCTGGAAAAAAAAATTATAATTATATTATATAATTATAGAATTAATTAGAAAAATGCATTTGAGAAAAAAATTAAAGAAGCAAAATAACAGCAAAGTTACTCTCAATTTTTGATCTAAATATATTTTCCAAAGTTCCATTTCCTGCTGCATTTTCTTTTTTTTTTTTATAAAATGTGTTGTTTGCTTGGAACAATAATGGAACAAAATTCCCTCCATAGATTTGAATCAAAATGCAACATCATTAGAATAAATTGGACGGAGATCAGGCTAAAGAACGGAACCAGGAGCCTCCCTCACCGCTAACCTCAGATAAAACCACAGGATTCAGGATGGCTGCAGGTGAGCACTGCTCTCTAACACCTCCTATATTAACCATGTTTGATATCCAGCAGCAAACCTCCCACTCATCCACAGACTCATCCTGGATCTGTCCAACGGTTTCCATCATCAGCCAAAGTTATTTAGCCAAATGAGACACTGGGTGACATCATCACACCTTTATCCTGATGGCAGATTAAACCAGGTAGAATAAGAAGTGCTTTGATCCGTTCAGTCAGAGAGCTCTTTCATGTGAGCAGCTATCTCCTGTGTTTGCATGCTACATAGAAGCCGGTCTGCAGTTATCTTCTTGGTTTAGGCAAAGCTCCTGTGAAGCTGAAGTCTTACCAGCTCAGGAAGGAGAGGCTGCTCATCTTTCCCTTTTTCCAGCAGCTCCATCTTTTCCTGTAAGACAGACACAAACACCATGAATGTCCGCCTCACACACAGAATGCCTCATGCTGTTATTTTATGGCTTCCTTGTTCTACATGAAGACAACATGAGCAAACAGTTTGGTTTCATGTCTGTTCAGCTCCACGCCATCTACAGTCATGATTCTTTAAAGGTCCAGATGGATCACAAAACAAGTTTGGGTTGAGATCCTCCCCTATGAATCTAAATCAACGCGACCTTGAACCCAAGTCAGCCTCAGCAGATGGCCGCTCACCCTGAGCCTGGTTCTGCTGGAGGTTTCTTCCTGTTAAAAGGGAGTTTTTCCTCTCCACTGTCGCTACAAGCATGCTTAGTGTGAGGGATTGCCTTCAAGTCAATGAGTCAATGCAATCCACTGGTTTCCGTTAGATAAAAAACATTGAATCAATCTGACTGGATGATCTAGTGAACTGTAAAGTGCCTTGAGATGACGTGTTGTAAATTGCCGCTATAGAAATAAACTGAATTAAATCTGATAATACTGACAAGATAACCTGATTTAGTGTTTTTATAACTTTATTTTCTGACTGCATTTTTTGGTATAGAGGTTTACATTGATACATATCATATTCTGTAGAGAGAAATTTATAGAGGCATCTTAAAAAAAACAAACAGCAGTGATGAAAACATTGAATCAAACAGAAACACATGGGGATCAAATACTGGAATGAGTTGGAAAAAAAATGTGGATGGGTGCGTCTCTACACGCGCCGCCTTGAGGACGTTTTCTTTTGAAATACAACAAATAAAAATAGAGGGTTTCCATCACCAAAGACGTTTTTTTTCAAGAACACAGAACAAGCAGAATAAACATGGTTATATCTGATGCTCCATCTCTGAGAAAAAATGTTCTCAGCGATGGAACGAAGATAGCGAGATATTTATTCTGGGTCGAGGTCACCGACCTGTTCTGTTCTGAAACCTCAGGGGGTCATGTGGACGTCTGACCTAAAGGTGGAACCTGTCAAACACTGCATCAAAGGAACAATTTTCAAGAAAACATTTAGGCTTTAGGCTTCAAGGAGGAGATTGCTTTCTGCACGTCCGATCCATAAACAACCTTTTCCACATGATCTACATTTTAATCTCAACTCGCTGCGTTGCCACATGATCACACCTGTTATTGCCTCCATTTTACAGGTATCACCTTACCAGCTGCTTTTCACTATTAAATGGATTATTATGTCAGGTGACCACAGGAAGCAGGTTCAGGCCTGCCGGAGACGTTCCTTCTTTGTTTTTAATTCCTGATTTCATCAGACTTTGTTTTCCTGCTTGGCAGCAGCGACACGCCGCTGGATCATTTAGGTTTCTATCTCTGGTGAGTGAGAGTGAACCTTCACCACAGGCGTGACACGAAAACATAAATCCCAGCAGTAAAGCTGCAGGTCATGAAACGTCATATGGGGGAAAACAATCATTTTAAGGAAAGAGTTGCAAAAAAATATATTTTTAATGTTTTTTTTTGTGTGTGTGTTTTTTTAAATAGAATCTACATGATTTAATTTGACAACAAGATCAAAAGTTAGAAAAAGATCCATTAAATATTAACAGAGTCTAGTAATGATCATTACGGAAGAGGATTGGGGCCACTGAAAAAAAAAAGTTAACTGGTTTTTACATATTGTTACATATTTTACATATTGTTA